CTGACGCAGGCAAGGCTGCGATGCAGGAGTAGGCCAAAGGCGCTGGGAAGGGTTTGAAGTCGCGGGGGAGGGTTTGAAGGCGGTGCAAAATGCCTAACGTCGCTTTTGGAAGCCCATAAGAAGAGAAGAGGCAGGCCTGCGAGCTGCCGAGAAGAGGAAGAGGGCAAGGCTGCGGTGGAGGAGTAGGCCAAAACGTCGCTTTTGGAAGCCCATAAGAAGAGAAGAGGCAGGCCTGCGATTAGAAGAGAAGAGGCAGGCCTGCTGCCGAGGGGTTTGAAGACTTGGCCAACTGCTTCACCCTGCGGTGTCCCAGGCGCCTCCCCGCCTAGGCTTTGGCTATAGGCCGGGGTCGGCGGATATTACTAAATATATATATATATATATATTAGATATGTACAATATCGTAGCATATTGTAGTCATTTATATATCGTAATTAATATAACAGGCTAGGCTTTGTTAAATGGTGTTTCCGTTTTTTAGATCAGATGTTGGAGGAGTTGCGCGATTCATCAACATTCAGAAACCATAACAGAGTAGCTGCTCGGCCATCTCTCGTTTGGGAGGCATATTTTGAGCAGAGCTTTCGTAAAGCTGACATCACCCACTTGGGATGTTCCCCATCGTCGACCACGAGGTTTCGGGGATCCGCCAAACGTCCTTGCGCAGGTCCAACAGTGGTTGGAGTGTGCCAGATGATGGGGAGGATTCTGCAGATGTACCCCGGATTCAGACAGTCTGATGGTGCCGGGGGGGCGGGGGGGGGGCGGGGTGTGGGAGTTTTGCTTGGCTCCTACATTGGTGGCGCAGGGGGATGAAAGAGGCCCAAAGCAATATGACAACCACTGGGGATTTGGTGGATTTGTGCCTTTTTTCTCGGTATGTGGGGGCTCCCTACCGGAAATATGGGGAAAAAACACACCTTGTTTCTGCTTCACCCACTTTTTGGTTTTTTTTTGCCATGATGTGGTTTCGACACCAACCTCCCGCAAAAACCACGATGGTCAAGCTCGCCGCCGTGAGGCGTTGCTTCCTTTTTCTATAGGCTCTGCAGGGAACCGGAACAGCCACGGTCGGGTCGGTCTGAGGGACAGGATCCCTCGTCTGTCCAGTCCCGTTCGATTTGCACCTGTGGAAGAACAAAGCCAGCAACGAACATCAACGAAACACTCCTTCTGCGAAGAAGAAGACATCAATGTAGTTCAACCGCTGTGGCTTCCACTTGGTCAAAGACACGGCCAAAGCGTCTTCCCACCCAGCCTGAAGCGGAAAACGGTGGGTTCATTTGCCTTCAGAAATTCAGCATGTTTCAGCCTTAATTACACATTACACTGTGGGTATCTATGTTTATTTGTAATACTTAAACATATATAAATATATATATATATAGAGAGACGCTAGCGGTCGCAGACCACGAATAGCTTCACAAAAAGAGACACATGTCGACACGAAAAATATGTATTGACACATGGTTTTAACACATGTTTCATGCTTTAACACATGGTTTTCACCCAGACTTCCTCGGCTGAACGCCCCCTTCTTGCCTCCCGCACCGCGGACCGGTCCCCAGGGCTCGGGCCCCAGCGGACCGAGCTCTCCGGGCATCGCCCCGGAGCCGCCGAAGCGCGGCAGCCGCGGCAGCTGGGGGACCCCGAAACGACGAGCACCTGGAGGGGGGGGCATTGGGAGCTGGTGGGATTCGAGCCTCGTTTCAGAGGCTCGATGGCACTGGCAACCCAAGATGTCTGATGGGGTCCATATAAACCACCGAACTTGGGGTCTGTGCCATCTACTCTCAATCCACCATAGGCCTTGGAGCAGGTCTCATGGCTCGAAATCGACCGAAAGGGCACACTGAAGGTCTCATGAATGATACTTAGTATCACCCTTTGGTGGACACACTGAGTCGCAGGGGGCTGACCTGTTGCAGCGTCTTGGTGGGGTCCATCAGAAAGCCAAGTAATTACTGCGGTAGAAGTGTAGGTCTTGTTCACAGTGATTCTTGCTATCTGGGAGTGTTTCGTTTCTTTTTCTATGTTTTTTTGCTGCGGAGGGTCCTTGTATTGCGACACGCCAGGTGCGAATGCAAGGCAAAGTCTTCCAATGCAACAACAAACCTTTTTCGTTGAGAATCTTGTGATTGGTTCACAACTTCAGCAGCAGGGGATGCTCTAAGTATTCAGGTTGCAGTCCTTGATGGTGAGTGGGGCTCCTATCCCTTCAACACCCTCATCCCCACCAGGCAGTCTTGCAACAAACAGAGCCACAGTGTAATATAAAATACACCATAGTATATGCCTATACAGAACAGAGAGCCACCGCCAAGCCCATGCTTCCGCACCCAAATCATCGCGCAACGTCGCGCGACCGACCGGTAAGGCCAGCGAAGCATGACGAGCGGTCTGTGGCTCCTCAACCGTGCCAGTGGCGACTTTGACGATCTGCGCACCACCGCCAAGAAGAAGTTGCCACCCTGGCGATGTTTTGGGAGAATGGAGGAAGAGCCCATGGGGGTGGGGAGAAAAAGGGGCCAGAGACGAGCGTGAAGATGACGACCAAGCATGCTGGTGGTGTTTTTGCTGTGACACGGAGAGCAGCATCTTTGGTCGGAAATCACCATGAGTTAGTAAATTCTAAAGATCTACCAGCACCTTCCAACAGGTCTCCTTTGGAGGGTTGTTAGGCCTTAACAGGTTTCAATTGGTGACCTGTTGGAGGTGCTGGTACAGACTCGTTGAACTATCAGGCACAGTCATGACTCCTCAACCCGCCTGAGAAAAACGGACGAGCTGGGCGACCATGGCGAGACGGACGGAACACAGGTCTACGTATAGCGTGTTGGGACGGAGATACTGCATGAGTGATTCACCCACATCCACGGTCTGGGCGGTGAAAAAGCACCCAGTTGGATTCATTTGATTTGATATTGGTGTGGGATGAGGACGTACTCTTCCCGCCGCTTGGAGCTTGACTCAGTCTTACTGTTCTCGCCCGGAGTCGCGCCAATGGAAGACATACAATCTACCCTCTGACTCACTCACATGGAAGATCATGCAAGTGGAGTTCACCACCTGTTTGGTCTTTGGATTTCATGGTCCCCAACCCCCCATCTCACTTCCCATCTGGTTCGGGAGTCGGAGAGTCATCAGTCTTGGGTCGTCCTGTTCCTACCAACGACGAACAGCGGCTCGTCTCGACGTCGACCGACCGTGAGGTCCGGAGAAGCTTCCGGGGGTTCTACGGCCCATTGGTCACATGAAGAAAGATCCACTGCAGAGCCACCAGTCACAGGAATCCTATCTGGTTTCCATTTGATTGATAGTGATTAAAGGAAAAAGGTAAAGGTGTCAGCCATTTTTCACCTGGTTTTCGCACATGACCGGGTCATGTGCGATCCGACCACGGACCGGACCCTCCGGAGCCCCCCGACGGTTCCGACGCATCGTGGGCCCAGGCAGAGGATGAATACCTCGGTGCAGGCCTTTTCCCAGGCGGAGTCGGTCCCAGGATGAAGTCGCAGTTCTTGGTTTTTTGGTCCAACATCGGAGGGTCCAACATTCGCAATGGCGCTCCGACACACGCGTTTCTGGGTTGGAGGCACTCTTGACAATCTTGCACCTCCAGTCGGGGTGGTTAATGGACAGCCCGAATCACCTCTAAGGGGCTATTAATGGACACCCTTTCCGTGGTGCTGGCAGTGTCACATGTTGTTCAGCGTTTTTCAGTGCTGACGTCCGCTCCCGTTGCGACGCGCCCGCGCCACGCAGGCGGCTGCGGGGTATGCCTCCGAGGCCGCGGCCAAAGCGGTGAATAAGGTGAAGAACTTCGCGTTGCAGAGGCGGAACGATGGGAGTCCACCGTTTTTTGGGGTGGGTGGGACCCGTAATGGTCCGTTTTTCTCTGTTTTTTGGTTCGTCATTATTGGCAGAAGGTGATGACTGACCTTCGGCAGAAGGTGATTATGACTATAGGACCCCCTTATGTTTGTGCACGGGTGAAACGGTTTGTTTTTTAAGAATGAACGACGGGCTGGACAACCACCATTTCTTGCCTTTTTCTGATCATATGTTTCTTTGCTTATAACATATTTTTAACTCTTGGGGTAAATTCACCGTGCTGGGAATGAAGAATTCTTATACAGGACGCCAGAGAGGCCGCATGGCAAGAACTTTTTTTCAGCACGTTTTGTTCATCTCGTTCATCCATGGCAGGATGTCATTTGTTGCCCATTTTCCATAGCCGAACCTTACCTGCGGTTTGCTTTTGGCGCCTTTCGCGCCTTCTTCGCTCTTCGCTGACCAGGAAGCTGCGCGGCATGGGACGGCGGGAGTTCACCAGCCGGGTCTTGGTGCGCAAGGCCGGCAGAGAGGTGGTTTGTTCCGCGGGGCCGAGGGGTTGACCCGCGGAATGCGATAGGGAGAGGGGAAGCATGGAGAAATCTTCGTTGAAAGATGACGGGATCGAACCTGGTGCAAAACACACATCCACAAACGTCCATTGCATGTCCGTAAGGTTTGAAGATTTGTTCTGCGGTTCCGCGCAACAAGTTGGAATTCTGAAGGTCTTTAGGATGTGTTGAGCAGTACCAGGACCCACTGTCGGGGTGGTTAATGGACACCCCGAATCACATCTAAGGGGCTATCAATAGAAGCCCCTGGTCCGGGTGTCCTGGTACCGGTAGTGTTTGGTCGTTTGGGTGACTGGATCAATAAGTCCCGTCTGAGGCATCCGAACATCGAGGGGGTGGTTTAGACGCCAAGGTGGGCCCTCGGACTTGCACAGGATTTGGTGCATGTTTGCCTCCAAATGGCTTTGGGACTTTGGGATGGGGCACGACTAGTATTTCGGAGACATATGCAGTGAGGTTTTCGAGTGGATTTGGGGGCTTCGCCTCTTTTCCTGGTCCAGCTCCAGCTCTTCAATCCAGCTCCATGGGCCCCACACCGAAGCTACTCACAGCAGCAAGGCGGCGGTTCGGCGGCTCTTTTTTGCCCAAGCCTTCTTCAAAAGGAAGGATGACCAGGACCAGCAGTCATAGCGCCACCTATGGTTCATATACTTTCAGCGAGGTCGTCCCCGGTTCTTCTGGGGGACCCCTCCTTGCTCGGGAAATCCCTGGTGGCCAAAACACCCGGGACCTCGCCATGCGCTGTCCGGAGCTGGGCGCGCTCGTGGCTTCTGCACTGATCGCTGGCAGCATGTTCCTCTTCACCAGCCTGGTGAAGGCGGGTTCCGGAACCCACCCGGCTAGTCGTGCGTGTTCCACACGAGGAGGCCGCGCGACACAGGTGAACAGATAGGGGGATCGAAGCAAGTGCGTGCAGTTACGGTGGGTCGGTGGGTCGGAACTGTGGGAAGTAGAATGGAGAATGGAGGACAGCTGAAGAGGAGAGAATCAACTTTTTGCAGCTAGTGCATGGTTCACCAGGGGCATGCCAGAAACGGTCCAAGAAGGGACGCCCAGTGCAAGCTTTTGGTTTTCCTGGAAGGTCCAGGTTGACATTTAGCCCCAGGGCTGGAAAGCTGCTGGAAGGTGACCTCAAAAAGGCTCTGATTCTGCATGCTGCTGAATGGGTTGCTGAACTCTTCGCGAACAGGACGCATTTCCACCCTTGAGCCTGGTGATGTTCCGCATGCTGCTGGGCAGCGCTGGGCTCCTGGCTGGGACTGCGAGCGCACAGGCAAACGGGGGTTGGGGTGAGAGGGGTCTCACGGAGACGAGGGAGTCGTTGGCGGTTTCAGAACACGTTATGTGCGGCCTCCAATAAGAAACCACCAGGTAAAGAGACTTCAGTCAGAGAGTCGTTGGGCTTCATCGAATTCAGCTCTGACCAGATCTGAAGCTTCAGGATCGGCCGTCCTAGTTGAGGGAGAGAGGCAAATGGGGCAATTGACTACAAGCCTGTAGAGTTGCAGGCGGTTTCCCCATTACAGCACTGACTTGGAGGGTTGGTTGGCTTGTTGGTTAGTTCCATAGCTGAATCCTGTAAGGAGGGAATCGATGTTTGGAAGGAACAAGTGCAGTAATCCTGAAAACATTGCCAAGGGTTCTTCTGGGTCGAACAGTAGTGACCAAATATCTTATCACATGTGCACAGGCAGACACAGGCGTGCAGGTGGCGGACAGCGCTGGGGAGCGCATCAATTCTAACATTGAAAGGGTGCCCTCCACCCACCATCTTCGTTGTCTTTCACCCACCCAAAGGAAAACTTGCGGACCCTCTGTCCCTTGCGCCCCCCCAAAAAAGCGCCCTTGTCTTCCACTTTCACGGATCCTCGTTCCACCCAATCACTGGTTGTTCTCCTCCTTGGTCCCCGGAGGGAGATCTTCCTTTATCCTTCGATTCCTGAGGACTCCTGCTGGACGGATCTGGACGGATCTGGACGGTTTCAGGCCATGGGCTGGCATCGATCCTCGTCTCCGGCACGGGAGGCGGCGGAGGGAGGGGCGCAGCGATCGATTCTGCGGGGAAGAGGCGAAGGCATTTCTGACTGAGGTGATTTGGGATTTCTGGATTGGATGAATTTTTTGTAGAAAGACCAGCTGAAAGATTCCTGAAAGTTGCACCTAAAGAATGAGATAAGTTTTGATCAAGAGCGTTCATCCATGTGGCTGTGGCCAGAAACATAAGGCTTGGATCACACACCCAAACCCACACACGATCCATACCTCGATCCATTGGGTATGGATCAAAAGGTGGGTGTGTGATCCAAGCTCTTGGATCACATGGTGTTTGGTTGTTTTTTGGTTGGAGGGGCCTTCACTCAACAGAGGGCCCCACTCCCAGAGGTAATCCATGGATGGGGCAAGAAGCAAGAAAAAAAGAAATGCGAAGAAGAATAAGAAGAAGCAGAAGAAGCAGAAGAAGAAGAAGAAGGAGGAGGAGGAGGAGAAGAAGAAGAAGACAAGCAGGAAAAAGTGAAGCAGAAAGAAGAAAGGAGCGGGAACAAGGAAGAAGGAGAAGAAGAAGAAGAAAACACGAAGAACAAGAAGCAAGATAAGCAAGCAGGAGAAACAAGAAACACGCAGAGAGCAGGAAGAGGAAGAGGAAGAGGAAGAGGAAGAGGAGGAGGAATAAGAAGAAGGCAGAACAAGAAAGCGACAAGCAAAGGACGCTGGGTGGCCTGGCATGCGTTCTGAGATTAGTGGCTTCCGCTAACTTGTTTTGGTGTCTTGCGCTCTTTGAGTAGATGGATTTTAAAAGGCCACCTCTTCTCAACAGGTCACTTGGCCTAATGAGCTAGCAAACCTTTGCTCGATTCTTCCCTGGGCTCCTTTGACTTATCCGTCCTAAGGCAAGGGGAAAACCGATGAAAGCAGCCACTCACTTTCAACTTAGCGGACTCGCTAAATCTTTCCAGAAAGCTTTCCAGCTTCAACTTACCGGAGGCCACTAATTGGAAAATGCATGATCACCAAAAACGTGTAGTGGAAGCCATTAAACTCAAGTTCCACCACCTGCCTGTCAACTCTTCGGTGTTGGGTGTGATTTTGCACTGGTCTGCAGTTTTCAAGCTGGTGGACCCAAGAACTGGAAGTGTGTGTGTGTGTCCCAAGGGATGTCTACTGGAAGCCAGTAAATGGAAAGTGTCATCAGATTGTGAACTTGACTTTCCTGGGTGAGGTTTTGCAATGCCTGGGCATTCGATGTATCCATGTGACATGGGGAGGGAGGTGTGCCAGACATCAGCAACGAAGCTGCGCTGCACTTAGCACACAAAATGTTTGGGCATGTAAAGGGCAAGCATAACAAGCGCACATGCACACGCAGCTGGTTTAGTGGACACCACTGTGTCAGGGGTTCAGTTGTGGAAGAGGCTTGGATCAAGTGAGCAAGTCGCGTGATCCGCAGGGTTGGGATCAGGGCCTTGATCTATGGGTATGGATCACTGTCGTGGCACTGCGGAACGATCCACACCAGGGGTTTTGGCCATGCCTATGTACCATCCAACGAAGGATTACCTGTAAAGTAGAGTGCTGATAAAGATGATAAAGAACATTGTGACTGTAAAGCTTCTGCATTTGTTATTCATTAACAATAGGGGGCCGTACTGAGTGGATAAAATTGGAGGGGTCAGTGCCTGGACTTTATCTGTGTGCCAGCCTGCCAGCAACGTATCCAGGGGGTCTGTCCTCCAAAAAAATCAACCCAAGTAAGGAGTGGATAATATTTTTTGGGGGTGGATAAAATGGGGTCAGTGCATCAAAAATATCCAGAATAAACGCTCCAATTTTATCCACTGGCTAGTGGGAGTAGAAAAGGAAAGAAAAGATAGAACATCGCTCGTTGGACGTTCGTTAGATTTCCGCTCGTTAGATTTTCCGAGCTCCATGGACGTCATGATCACAGAGAACCAAAAAATTGTCGGCGAAACTTGCCAACGGAACGTCAAAGCATCAGTCACCGCGGGCTTTCAACTGCTCCAACAGCTGGAAGCACTCTTGGTCAGCACCTTTCAGCTCTGGATCATTCTCAGTGGGACCCTGTGTTTCGACATGAGGAGTCTGAAAAATAGTGGTGAGGCCTCACACTCATCCAGGTTCATGTTATAGTCTTCCTCATCGGGATCCTGCACCAGGTCTTCCATGAGATTCGCAGCCTGTGAAAAGGACACGTGTGAAACATGTGCGTCCTAAAAACAACCTGGATATTTTCCTTGGTACTGAGGTTGGGGAGATATACAAACGACAAGTTGTGGGATACGCTGAAATTAATCTTCTTCTGCTGCTTCTGCTAGGTCTGGAGAGCTTTCAAAAAATTGCTCAACGGCAGCGAATATAAAAAAAAGGTGCGCTGACATCTGGACAAAACAATTTCAATGCAGAAGTTCCGTTCAACAAAGGAGCTGCTTCCCGGTCGCTCTGGGCATCGTAACCCTGATAAACTCCCGCTGGCATTCCTAAGTCCAAAATGTACAGTTCGACCAGCACTGCGGGCCATGCAATCGACATTCTTTTGCAAGTGGTTGGACCATTGATTCCAAACCAACCTCAACCACAACCACAACCAACCTTCTAAGGTTTGCAGACTTCCGCAACAATCCTTAGTTTTGCAGACCACCACAGAGCACATAGAGCGTTGGAAAAAAAACTGGGCCTGGGATCGTTTCTTTTTGTCTCGTTTGTCGATTAGCATCTACTTTTGAGGGGGGGGTTCCTCGATCCTATTCGTCTAGCTTGCTAACCTCAGGCCTTCTCAAAATTATCTATCTGCACTGGTTGTGTACTTTTTTTGGGGGGGGCCTTATGTTGGCCCTCTGGCCTTCAAATTTATCCACCGGTTTTGGCTAAAAACCCGTCAGTCCCTGGAAATTATCCGGTACTGACCCCGGACGCCAGTACAACGGGGTATATTAACAGTTTACATTCATATGTTTGTAAGAACAAGACTTGACGGTATACTGGTAAAGCGGCAAAACACCATACTAACATTCCCATACCCATTGCGTTCGTTGAAGCGTCGCCCGTGTTGATAGGAGGTGCTCTACCTGTGCGCGATCGGTGCGAACCTGGGCATTCTGACAGTCTTGGGAGAACCGCCTAGAGGCTCCAATAGATTGAAAATAGTTGGTGTGGAAATGGGAACACCCCAAAAGCCGTGAGAGCGAAACTCGACTCAAACTTGCGTGTTGCTTTGGCCCAATGACCCTCGAATTGGGTGTTTGTGACAAACTCCACTAAACTTGAGGTCTTTGACTTGTAGTCTTTTTCCATGATTGTCCGCTTCCTCCATTTCTCGGGTGGGACGGTGGGACGGGCGCTCAGGATGAACACCGTGCTGCCCTACACGCTCTATGCCGCTGCCTTGGGCAAGGGCGAATCCGTGAGCTGCGCCTCCGCTTTGGTGCGGCCCCGAGCGACCCGACGAGCGTCGCGGGGATCGGGGAGGTCCATGGCAGCGTGGATTTGAAGGGTAAGAAAGAGGAGCAAACGAAAACATTTTTCGTTGTGTGAGCTCAGTTTGTTTTACGGTTGATTGAAGGGTAAAGACATCCAAAACGGAAAAACACAATGTTTTTGCTATAGGTATTTTCGCCGGGTCAACCTTTCTTTGAAGGGTCTGTGTAGGCCTAGCCTAGCCGACGTCCGTTGGATGATCCCATCTGGTGGAGACACGACCCAGGTAGGTGAATTCTCAAGTAGACAGGTCCAACGAGTTCAAATAGATACATTTTGGTGTGTCACGAGTTACTGTTTTGCGAAAAACAAAAGGTTTCACAGATGGGAACGGACATCTGGGAATTGTCAAACATCGTGGATGAGTCGAAAAAAATCTCTTGTTTTGGTGGGGGGCAGTGGACAGTGGACCCGCAAGGCCTTCCTCACCTCTCCGTGACGACGATCTCTTCATTTTCACCGTCCCCAATTATTGTCTATAGCCCAGACACTCCATGTATATCCATGTATGCCATATATGGAGCGTCTGGTAGCTCAAATAGGGAGACCCGCTGAAAAGACCCCCGCCACTTGCTTCCACCGGTGAGGCGGGCGCAACCCCTGTGTTCGCAGCCGGGCTGATGGCGCTTAGTGGCAAGCTGACGCTGCAGACGGAGGGGCCAGGCGGAGGGTGCAGACGTTCTGTTCAAAAGGGTGAACAAAGGGGGTCAACCGGAGGTGCCTGAGGTGCTGAAGTAGATGGAAGAAGAACCTTGAAAAGCATAAAGAACCGTCCTCCAAAACATGTCACTTGATGTGATTACCAAGTTTCCGTGAGCGACCACACCATTGCCAGGCTTGCTGCTGGGCTTGCTGGGCGTACCTCAGCAGCTATGGCCGCCTCCCCATCCGAAGGGGTCTACTAGAGTCTACTTAAAAATACACATGTCAATGAATTGGCTAACTGCACTTGTTCAGGTAAATCAATGCTTTGTTGGGGTCCATCACCCCTGGATGAACCGAGACCGTGGGACACGAGGTGCTTCTCATCGTCTTCCGCCGGGGGCGCTGGTCCCACGGCAGCTTCCAGGGTGTAGCCCTGCAAGTGCTCGGCGTCTTCTTCAAGGCACGAGCATGAAATGAGGTTCCAGGTCGGCGATGTTTTTGGATTCTTATATATATACAGTATATATATATATATACTGTACCAGGACCCACAAGGCGTGGTTAATGGATACCCCTTAACATCTAAGGGGCTATCAATAGAAGCCCCTTAGGGTGTCTTGGTACATGAATGAATCACAATTTACACCACTTGACTTGCTGGTGCTGGCAAGAAACTCTTCCAACGACTAAGTGAAGAGCTTTCCGAAAGCCCAGCTCGGTCACAAGCAGCTGAAGCGACTTCACCAACCAAGAAAGCGCCAGAAAGCACCTTCATTTCAATATCTACCTGAACCTTCATGTTAAATTTATTGTGCTCATTTTGGAGATCCACAAATGTACTGTAGGCTAGTCTAGCCAGGAGAACCCCTGAAACAGGAAGGTGCCTGTCTATGACGAGCTGGTTAGTCCTTGGCTTCACCGCTGGTCGCTGGTCATTCTTCAGGCCTCTGCGGCCTGCTTAGCTGGGGCGAAGAATGCCAGGTGCGCGGACGTGGGACCTGTCTGGGTCCACGTGTTCGGAAGGCCGCTGAAGGGCGCTGAGATTCACCAGAAATGGACCAAGGCTAAGCTTTCATAGGTGGTCACCGATCAAGCATCTTCATTAGGCAACTCTGGAGAGGATCTTTGGCTAGAACAGCGGCTCCCAGAGCTGCCATGGCTCGCTCACTTTGGTACAATCCCCTCGACGAGTTACAGGTGGGCTGATGAAATCATGTCCAGTATGGTGTGAATGGAGGGCTGTGTGGAACATCAAAATGGTATCCAAGACTCGGCCGAGACACACCACAGAACTAGGCCCTGCCTGAGGTGGATGACCCTGAGTTTGGCTTGAAGATTTGGCTACTCCTCCATGTAGGAGATTCCAATGCGCCTTCCAAATCGAATCCGATACAGGGCCACTCTCACCAGCATTGTGGGGCCATGTGGTACTAAGGGAGGCCATTCTTTCGATGGCGCCGCACCGGGAAAGAGACACCCCGGTTGGGACCGGTGACTAGACCGGCAGGAAAGACCTCAAGGCCTCGGTGCTGCTGCAAGCACTCCTCCAAGCGCTCTGTGGCGCAGCTTTGGCGGCCGCCTGGAGTGGAGGATGGCGAACACAGGGAAAACCAATGCAAACACCACCCCCTGGATTCGACGTGCTTTTCGTTTTTTGGGGGAAAGAGCTTTCAGGGATGGTCACGAGGTGGACGCCCGTGCGTGGCGTTTCCTTGGCCTTTTCACCCCAGGTCTTCGGCTTCTGGAAGTTCTGCATGTCGACTCGTTTCTGGGGCCCTTGTTGGTCCCTTACTCAGAGATTTGAGGTCTGACCTGCCAAGAAGAAGTCAAACAGCAAGTGATACCAAGCCCAAGCCCGAGTGGTTTCAGATGATCAAACAACGACATGACCCTGGGAGTCCAAGACCATTTTTAAAACGATCTTTAGATGATCCGAAAAGGAACTTCCTTTACTTGGGTGGTGGCCTAAAATAGTCTTTGGACTTCTAGGGATGAGGAAGGATCTTTCGGGACTTCGACGCCCAAAGATCGTGGCCCCTGGAAGGACCATTCTCCTCCTACACATAGAAGGGGGGGGTTGTCCACTTCTACGAAGAGAGGTGAAGTGACCATAAATAGGACCCTACTGGGGTACTTATGGGATAGTCTATAGGGTCCTGCAACCTCTGTTGGTATGTTTGTTGCAGTGAGAGGCGTACGAGCCAGGCCCCCGAGCCCTGCCCCCGAGGTCCCACCCCGGACGCGGGGGCTCAGTGATGCGACGCGTACGGCGGGAACTGAGGCTGTCCTCTCCTTGCTCTTGGATGCTCGGGCGCAGACGCCACATTGGTTAGACCCCAAAGATCTCAGCCATGGTGGAAACTTGGCGAACGGTTGGGCGATGGGGTCGTGGTTGTTCCCCTCGTCGTTTTGGTGTTGGGATTATGTGGAAGAGATGTGGGCTATGCTTGGCTTGGAGTGATCCCTTCACCTTCACCAAGATTCCCGTCCAGAAAACATCCGAGTGGACCAAATTCCCTTAAGAACCCTCGTAAGGAAGATAGCCTTCAAGAGAACTTGCCCAAGAGATGCTGAGAGCCAAGTGCAGCCATTAAGCCATTGTCCAAGTCCGGGAGAGCAGTTTCTCTTCAGTTGGTGTGTTCCCATGCCATTGTCGTTTTCTCGGTCTACCACTTCTCCCAGCTTTCCGGCCGCAGGCTATGGCTTCTTGTTTTCGGTGACCTCTCAGCAATGGCTCTGCTTGGTGGCACTCTCTTTGATGGGGAGCTGCGTGGTCTATCTCCTTCAGCCTCCTGGCATTATGTGGTCCAGCAGTTGAGGTGATTTTTAACCAAGGGATTTGACTGGATGATGAGGATTAGGGGTCCTTTGCGCAGATCTAGTTGGCCCCCGAGGGGGCCCTCGGTGTCCCTTGAGATCGAAGAAGCAAATCCCTGTTTCTTCCTGGTTCTTCAAAGGGACCTTTGGAATCCTTCTGATATCCCGGTTTGAGGTCAGTTGGGCCTGTATAATAAGGTCACTTAGGCACTTAGGGGCTCCAAAAAGGGTCACTTCGAAGAAGCTGGTTGACTCGTTTCAACTTTGCCAGTTGGACATGCGCTGCCCGATGCCCTGCGTGCCCTGCGTGCACACCTGCCCGAGGATGGCTTCTCGATGGTCAACCCAAGTTATGGGGGGGTGCTGGTGATATACATTCAGCAAACTATATATAATATATGATTTATAAACAATAAATACAAACACACATACATACAACATTGAACATATAGGTGAAGAGCCATGTCTAAGACGACGACAATAGCTAAACAAACTCTGCTGGGCTCTTTGTACATGCCTTTATTTGTTCATCCCCAACTTGTGCGACCTGCTATGGAGGATGTGTCTTCGTGACTCACATGCTGCCCCATTCTCCAGCTGAGATTTCTGAGTCGTCCCAGATCTCTTCCCATCGACTGTTTCTCAACGAGTCTTCACAGGTTCTTCCTTTTGGCGCGGGTGGGCGCGGTGCGTCAAACCTTAATGGATCAGCTCGCGCCTCTCGGGCGCATCTCGGGGGTTCAGGGGCTAGCGGGGGGGGGGGGTTTGCCTCGCTGGGGACCGGGGGGAGCTGCTGAGACTTAAGGGTGTTGGCCGTGAGTTTTTCGTGGTAGAAATGTCAAGACATCGAGAAGACTGTGACCCGACTTAGTCCTTCCTGTTGGGAGGGACATCATGAGTCTAGTCCTTCGTGTATCATTGATTGTGATTGTGTTTTGAGGGCTATGGCACTGCTCTCTTGGTCTTTGTTTCAAACCATCCTCCCTGCTGTGTCCCTAGAGTAGGGGCTGGCTCACATGTCTCCAAACCTCCTCACACTGTGTGCAGCGCTTTGATCAGGTGCAAGGTATTCATCAAAACCATGGAACACGATATGGCGAAACCCTAAAAACGATAACGCCAAGAGGTTTAGCCACTTGCTCACATCTTGACAGTTGGGAGTTTGGGTTTGGAATTCTTTCCTGATCCCTCAAGCCAACGCCCCCCAAACGGTTTCATGTGTTCTCACCGTAGAGAATATATTTTTGGCACGGCACCATGACAGCACCGCACCGCACGGCACGTGGCTTCTTGAAGATCTGTCCTGCACTGGAAGGTCGACAGCGATGCGATGCTAAGAGCGATGTATCACTGTTTCCTTGTGGCGCCACAAGGCTCCGCGAAAGCAAGTTTACCCCCTGGAACCAGCCATGAAATCGTTTTCGTGGAGGCTACTTATTTGGTGGACGTCTTGCAAGCACCTCCTCCCCAAAATGGACTACTTGGATCCATGCACTTGTAGCCAACTTCGCCATACTTTCCAAGTAGGACGTCCCTCCCTCGACTTGAGACGCCGTGTCGACACCGGTCGACCGGTGTCCGTCTCCGTTCTCCCTATAGGCTGGTCATTGGTGTCGTGGAAGGAGGGCTCTTCCGCGGTGAATGGCGGGGGCACCCGACCGCCGGGACCATGCGGGACGGAGGGGATGGGAAGTGAAGGAATGAAACACCGTTTTTCGTTTGGGTGTTTCAAAGGTTTTTGGGTGTTTTCAAGCGTTCCTATTTGATTTCATCGTGCAACATATGATAATATGACAGTGTCTTCCCGAGCACCGACCGAAGTTGAAGAGACCTACCATTCAGAGACGGGGGACAAATGTCCAGAGAGGCTACAATGGGCACTTCAAACTTGCGCTCGGTATCGCTCACCTTCCGGAGACTCAAACCAACTCGCATTGTTTTTCTCAGTCAACGCATGACCAATTCAAAGTATTTTGATGTAATTACTATTCTTTGGAATCCTACCTTCTTTAGCTTGGGTCGGCTTCCACTAAGCTCTTCCACTCGACTGGAAGAGTTTTGGACTAAGCTCTCCACAGGCGCGACGCCTCTTTTTCCGAACTCTTGACCTTCCTCTTTGGCGCTGCCTGCGTACTGGTGGCGACCGTGGCTTGGTGCAGCAGTTGCCCTCGGGCGGGCCATGGAGTGGGGGTCGAGCGAAGAGCTCTTCCAATGCCTGGCAGAAAGGGTTGGTCCGTGGTCCCCAAATAGATAGTGGCACGAGTTCCGACATTTTCTATTTTTTAGTGGTACATTCTACCTTTCGATCTATTTGGGGGGTCTACCGTTTATGTATATATATAAGGGCTTTTCGTTGCATTCAGGTCCCATATCATGTCAATCGGGTCTCAAAGGTTCTTGTTTGCGGTTGTTGCTGCTGCTCTGCAGCCTTGCATTCTGGATCAAACCTGGCCTTCCATTCAACTTACCGCTCGAAAGGCCTGGACAATTTTCAACTAACCTCTCTACTGGACACAACTTGACTCGGCTTGCAGGCCCTTTCTATATCAGGCCCTCCGCTGCTCATCGAGATAGTGAGACTGGCATGGTCAGCTGAAGCCGGCTGTCTCCTTTGTTTGGAAAGTCGCCAGGTGCTTGCCACCATCATTGACCAAGATCTCAAGCTAGCTTCTGAGCAAACACATGCAAGCACTTTATACCTACACTCAAAAACACGTGATCAAGCCGGAGATTGCTACATAATACTTTGTAGGTTATCAGTTGTCAAGCCTGAAAACTGCCAGCACGGATTTCAGGCCTGGCCGCTCACCATTGACCGCGGCTTGCTCAGCCGAATCTAGTGTCTGGCTGATCCTTTTCATGTCCACCAGCAATCTCCAATCTTTTCCAGAATGGTTCAACAGCAGCTTCAACAGCCAGCACGGAGTCAGCACAAGCTGCATGTTCCAAACACTTTCAGAATGCCTTAGGGGCCTCAGGAAGATTGTTTGAACAGAAAGTCCTGCAAACACTTGGCTGATCCCTGACACTAGGACAAACGCTACTAATTATCTACTATCAACTTTTGTCCAATACTCTGACTCGCCATGATCTCATTTCCCTGCTGATCACCTTTGCCGGGACCTCTTCTGTTTGGACCTCATATGGGCCGTTGCTGCTGGAATGGAAGGCACGATCAACTCAGCTCCGCTAGCTCAGGAATGAACCTCGTGAAGGTCGTGGTTCTGTCCCTGCTACTGTTCATCTCCAAGGATTGGCATGTTTTTGATTCATTGACTACTACATGTTGCATAGGCCTCCATGATACATGTTAGTTTGAATTTGAGATCTTTTTGTGCGAAGCCATTGGACCAATCAAAAGCTGTCAAGTCTTGCAAGTTTCAGTGTTCAACTGGGAGGTTGCGCCTCTCGAGTCATCCAAGCCAGCGAGCAAACCTCAGCTTCCGGGCTTCCATGTTTCTCATGGATACTCAAGTGTCTCCATGCTCCTTTTTGAGCGTCTTCAGGTGTGGGGCTTCCGTTAACATGCAGCGACGTCTGTCATTTGGAGAGATTTTGGTTCTAAGAAAGTTAGCTACACGTTATAGGATTGCTTCCTTTATGTTTGAAGCTCGCAGCTCAGGTTTTTTCGTCAGCAATCAACCAGGTCATTTGCCAGCTCAGGGAGTGTCGCAGGTTCTGTGCAGGACAGTACGGGTCACAGTGACAGACGCTCCTTCTTCAGAGATTTGAAACGAGAACAGAGCCCAGAGAAGACAGAGCTTCCAGATCCGTCAACCAAAGTTGTGAGGGTCAACTTTACTTTGAAGAGTTTGCTTGATTTTCAGTTGACATGCAAAACGCATGCTGCACATGTCTCTGGTATGGAGACAGAATTGGGGGATGGTGTCATGGAGCATCACAAGCGACCCAGCTACAACAATCAACAGCGAAGACTTTTGGCCAAGGGCCGAAACCATGGTGAGCAACCAGTCCGCACATAAAGTTACACCAACTCATCATGTAGTGTCCAAGTTGTTTTGTACCCAAACCAATCCCAAAGCCATACTGCTGCACTGCACTGGCGAACAAGGCAGAAGAAGAATGGTGCTTCCCCAAATCGGGTGAAACACCTGCAGGGTCTCCACCGTTGCCGGTGTCACAGAAGACAATGTTTCAGCAAGCTCGGGAAGCTGGGGCAGCTCCAATCATTTCTGGCTAGCTTTTGGGCAATGGCAAGACCACAACAAGACCTCTATGTCCTATCCTGAGCAGTAGTGCCAATATCACCAACGGTAAGCACACCTCATTCCAGCGCGCCTAGGTTCGAGACGTCGTTTGCAAGGGCAACAACAAGGTGCGGAAGACGTGGCACCTATTTGGGCACAAAATGTCTTGTAAGTGTGTCACTGCCGTTCTTGGTCTTGGCAATTCCCGAATGGCCCGCATACTGTGTGGTGCAATGGACCGACGCTTTCGAATTTGGGGAGGGGTGCCTCTGCTGGTTTCAGACTGGCATGTGTGTAGCACGCTTTTGCTAAAAATAGCTAGAAACTCATCGTTTTGGATAGTTGTGCAAGATGTGTCAGAGTGTCATGACAGCAGTAACAATATATACTCCTCAGTCAGCGCTTCGGGAGCCCCCAGTTGGCACGCTCGCGGATAACCCAGAAACACCCACCAACCCCCTAAGCACTCGCTTGGCTCAGCCAAGGGATCGAATCGATGCCCGAAGAAAGAAAAGGAGATCGATCATTTCTTACTTGACATTTACATCAAAGCTGCAGGGATGCTTCCATCTCGGTTTCTTGCCTTTGATTGGCAGAGGCTTGAAACATTAAAAACACCCTGTCCTGTAGGCAACACAAGTGTGTGTTGTGAATATGTCTTTGGCGTTGACAGGTTTCAAAGGGCAGCTCGTGATCGGAGTAGCCCTCTGAGATCCCCACATGAGAAGCTCACTGTTGAGCTGGACCACCATGGACTGCCTGACGAAGGCAAGACGAGGATCTAGGCAAACTTGAGTTCGGTCCTATGCTGGTATGTTGATATACTGTGCTAATATTACAAGCCTTCTATATATCTTTGCGCTGCTCCTTTGAAGGCTGTGAATCTGACGATGATGAGTCTGAGGAGAGCGAGAATGATGGGGACACGCTACGCGTAGGCAATGAATCACTTGAACAAGACGACGAGCTACGCATGCATATGCTAGGCCTACGATCATGTTACTGCAAGTACCTTGTCGGAGTCGCAAGACAATGCAAGACACATATCTCGCTAGATCAATACTTGTCACACTCTGTCACTATTTAGTAGACATCGTTCAATAGCCCAGGTATGTGGAGACCAATGGCTGTCGGAAGCTTGATGCGCTTCCAACACGTTTTCTCCCACCAGGGTCTATCAAAATGCTGCATCTACAATACCTTGAAGAGCGATCTACTCGTGTGTCGCAACTGGCTCACACTATAATTGTTAGTTGCTTAGGGAAATTCTCAACAGCTTTTGAACACCAGTAAAACCCCTTAGAACATGCTGCTCTCAGGTATTGCCATTTCTGGCGCCAATACAAACGGCGTTGGGCCCGTATCCTCAAATTCACGCCGCCTAGTACCCACGCATCCTGTGATGATTGCCTAGAGTTCAAAGAACTTTTCAAGATGGCGAAGGTGCCCTGGTACCAATCATTGAGTGAAGTACTGTGACAGTACCGGATAGTATCAACAGATCGTCGCAATCACTTACCAGGATCCACAAATGGCGTATGATGTAGCGAAGGAGTACAAGTGCCATGTCGACAGCGTAAAGAAGGACAGAGATTTAGAGGAGTATCTCCAGGCCGGAAAATTGAAGCACCACACGCGTGTCTTGTTGTGACTATGCCATGGGGCTACCCTGTGTGTGTGCGCAAAAAATATCAAAAAATCATGCCACGTGGAGGCGCAATCTCCTTTACAAGGCCATGGCCCACCATTGTGTATCCACATGGACACCCGGCTGAGATTATAGCTTCGCACCGTCATCGGGAAATGTTCTTGACATCTTCTCAGTCCTCTGCGTGTATGTCCCCAGGATGGGATGGATCAGGCAAAGTGGAGCATTCCACGTTGCAGATCCCTCATTACGCCAAAAAGCTTGGCTGGACACCACCGGTTGAAGTTCAAGGTACAAGGCGTTTGGTGTCACGGCGTCCTTTTGAAGCTGTGGGTTTTGGACCCTAGATGCAGCGCAGACTCTTCGACGATCGCTGAGACTTTGACAAGAAGTGTCGAGGATGTTATGAAGCGTTGTGATCTAAAAGGTGTTCGACGACCAGATCAAATCCTGTGTTGGGCTTCTAGTCTGCAAACTGCTTGCCTGAATTATCAACAAAGTATGCAACTAGCGCCTAGAAGTTGTTTATCCGCTGCTGCGTAAGGCTGACAACTGTCCAAGAGAGAACAAAAACAACACGATGCTCAAGTGGATGAGCTATGTAATCGCCACATTGAAGCTGAGAATGTCTGCGCTGTTATTTGCTCGCGTGGGCCATACGCATGGCCCACTAGGCCACCTGGCAGCCCAACAAACTCGTAGCAGTCAGTGCTTGATGAAACAAAGTCAGGTAGTGTTTCATGTTGTAGCAACATTGAACTTGCTAAGATCAAATTTTCGGGCTGCTTGCGGTGGCGTTCCGCTACATCGACCTCCTGTGCGACGAGCAAGACATAGTACAGAGCCCCGCTGACACTATATAACCGTAAGCAGTAGACATGATCATTTTCGATTTGGCTAGAAAAAGGATCAGGCCTCTTGGATCCTCTTGGGCAGCTCAGACTTTAAGCTTAGGAGGGTGTGGAAAATTAGCGGCTTTGAGTAAGTCAGGCAACCCATGACCAATTTCAGATTCAATGGGCTGGCTAAGGAAGCTTCATCAAATATTGAACCAGCTCAAAATTCGGACATGGCTCGGTGAAGAAGCAACCATCGATGTTGAGTACATCTCTGGAACGAGGAACTTCAAGAGTTGGACCTTCACCTGAACTAATGGAATTATGTTGGTTGTCGATTGCCCTGCAATTGCCCTGCACTCGCATGCCAGCCCGCTCGCACGCATAGCGCTTCCGGCCTGCAGAGGTTCGAGAAAGCACCAGTCACCTTCAAAGGCGGACTTCGAGATGATT